TTTGGGGGTGTACAACTTTGAACAGGTTAGAATTTACAGACATTCAGATTTAGCCATATAGTAATTTGGACATGTGGGGGTTTAGCGACATACAGATTTGGACAAGTTGTGATTTTAAGACCTAAAGATTTGGACACGTCTAGCTTTGTGGATGTAGAGATTTGGTCATATCGCCATTTCGGGATATAGGAATTTAGGTTTATAGAGAAGTGATCATGTTGGAATTTTGGAATGTAGAGATTTGGTTACCTAGTGACATGGATATGTAGACATGTTGGCACATGATTTGGAGACGTCAAGTTCAGCTTTTAGGTATCTGAAGGTTTGATCAAATAGCGTTTTAAGGATGCAAGGATTTGAGTACACAGAGATTCGCAAACGTTAGTATTTGGTGATATAGAGGTTTGCTCTGTAGCGACCAAGGAACATAGGGATTTGGGTATATAGAAGTTCGTACTTGTTAGCAGTTCAGGATGTAGGGATTTGAACACGTTGGGAATTGGTGCTGTAAATATTTGATCATACACCGATTTAGGGATGTAAGGATTTGTATACATAGAGATTTGGACACGTTGGGATTTGGGGGTGTAGAGAGTTCATCATACAACGATTTGGTGATGCAGGGATGTGTGAATAGAAAGATTTGGACATGTTACGAACATACAAATTTGGACATATTGTTATGTGGTTATATAGAGATGTGGATATGTTATTTGGAAATACTAAGATTTGGACATACTGTTATTTACTGACCTAGAGATGTGGACATGTCATGTGAATATGTGGATACAGAAATGTGGACATACAAGTATCTCATCACACAGTGACACATACAGAGACCCAAATATACTTCAGAATACGGTGATTTGTACATAAAAAAGTTTGAAAATATATTTGAACAACTTGAGTACCTAAAGATCCAATTAACATTTCAATTTAAATATTATAAAAGAACCTAAAGATACGGATGAACCATGGGATCCTGGAATCATGAAGGAGGTAAAACATTTGAAGAAAAAGAAACTTCATCCCCTGGAGTAAGAGCAAATTAAATGTTTGCATCAACAGAATAAAACAGCCCGAAGCTGAAGAATCAGTTCGCTCTATCAGACATGTCTCCTCCCCGCTCCATACTGTTCCCGCAACTTCCATAAAAGTTTCAGACTCTCCTCGCCGCAACGACAATTCGCAATCTCTCTTCGACGACTGTTTTGTGCTGGAACACGGTGAAGCGAAGCAAGAGAAGAGGACCTCTTCGTGTTCTTATTGGGAAGAGGCGCGAGGCTTCGAGTCAAGGGAAACGTGAAATTGGAAAAGGTTCAGCTTGTCAGATAGACCAGCTAGCTATCGAGGAATGTCGGACCACGGTGACAGCTGTTTGAGGCAGATTGCAGAAATCGAGTCGAGTATTTTGCAACCACCGTCCGAAAATCGTCTGACAAAAACAGGGACACACTTGGAACTTTGAGAACGTGGAGTATCCTGTTTTAGTAGACAATTATCCAATGATTTGGAGGATCTCTGAGTACTACAAATTGATAAAATTTTGCTGGTTTTAAATTGACAGCAAAATAAGTTCTCTCTAATAAGATACTTCATAGGTATCCCTTGAACGTCCTAACTTGGTACCCAACTTCAAAAATTAATTTCTCGGAAAGTAGAAAAGATAGGGAAGATGTATTAATACTGGTTTGTAGAGCAAAGTCTACTCTTTAATTTCGTGTATCGTGTTTCGTGATCGAAGACAAAATGGCGACATAGGAGCTAAAATAGCAAAGTACTACACTTCATACGAATCTCTGGATGTCCTACCTTGATAGCTAACTTTGAAATTGATTTTCTCGAAAAGTAGTAAAGATATCAAAAATGTGTTAAGAACCATTTTTATAGACCAATGCCTAGTCTATAATTTGAGCCATCGTGAAGTACAAACAGAAACAAAATGGCGGAACAGGAGCTAAAATAGCAAAGTACTACACTTCATAAAAACCCCTAGATGCTTAACCTTGATGGCTAACTTTGAAATCGTTTTTCTCGAAAAGTACTAAAGATATCAAAAATGTGTTAAGATCAATTTTTATAGAGCAGTATCTAATCTATAATTTGAGCCATCGCGATGCACGACCGGAAACAAAATGGCGGAACAGGAGCCAGAATAGCAAGCTGTCCTCTTTTCATAAATGCTGTCGTCACATAATGAGGGACACAAATGTTAAATTTGTCAGAAGAGTAAATTGATAAAAAATATTAACAAACGTATAAACAATGAAGACACAAGAAGAGCTTTTCTGCCATTATCCTTTCAGGTCAGCGTATCACGCGGTCGACGTTTTTTGCCGTATTTCCTCTTTTCTTTTTCCCTGCCTCTTTTTTCCATCGACCAGCACATGACACGGCTGGGGGTCATCGATTCCGTGGGCAGTCTGCGTAGCAAGTCGGCAGATACGTTCATTTTAACGTTGCAGTGGTCGTCTGTAATCTGTGTACCCGTAATAACTTTTGCGTGGTTAGCAGCTGACCATGCATGGAATTCATTATGCTGAAACAAATATGTAAATCTCCATATATTCCTGCCACGGTTATATACATATATGGGCAGCGGGTGTGCACGCCACGGACGCGGATATATTTCGTACAGAATGTGTCCACCCCCTCTCGAAACGGACAGTGATGGTCCGGGGGAAAAAAAAACTTATCTGACCACGCCAGTTGCGTGGAACATGTTAATATTGCCGAAGGTTGAAAATTTCGAGGATGTTGTACGTCGATCGTACGGTTCACGTGCGGCATATCGATACTGTTTGATTGCTATAATTCTGTGGACGTTGCATCTGTTTAACCTTCCGATTGCGTTATATCGCTGTTGAGAGATGAACTTCATTTTCATTCGTATTTGGTCTCCCTGAGGATTCGGGCGTGGTGTGAGGATTCAGGTCTTGTTATTGTTAAGTTTTAATTTGGGAATTTGGGAGTTGGGCAATTCGGAACTTGAGGATTTTGGGACTTTTGGAGTTTGGAGGGATGGAGTTTGGGGTGGTGGTAAATTTGAGCGTTTAGGGGTTTGAGATTTTGGAACTTTAGGAGTTTAGGGGTGTGACAGTTTAAGACTTTAGGAATTTGGGGGCTTGGGATTTTGGGACTTTAGGTAATTAGGGGTATGCAAGTTTGGGACTTTAGATAATTAGGAGGATGTTTGGGATTTTAGGAAATTAGGGGGATGCAAGTTTGAGACTTAGGTAATTAGGGGGATTCAAGTTTGGGACTTTAGGAATTTAGGGGCTTGGATTCTTGGGATCTTAGGAATTTAGGGGTATGCAAGTTTGGGACTTCAGGAGCTTTGGAGCTTTCTAATTTTAACCTTGAAATTTTAGAATTTCATAAAATTGTGACCTTGAAGTCTTGTAACCTTGAAACATGTGAACCTAAAGAACTTAAAATTTTACGTTTGTTGAAACTTCCAAAATTTGACCTTGAAAACTTGCTATCCTTGCAACCTCAAAACCTTGACACTGAAATCTTGTCACATTTACAAACCCTGTTACCTGTAACCTTGCAATCTCTCAATCTTGTAACCTTATTATCCTGTAACCTTCTAACCTTGAAACCATATAATCCTGTAACCGTATAATCTTGAAACCCTGTACCCAAACCTGGATGCCACAAAACCTCAAGGCTTGCAATATTTATGACCAGTACATCATTAGTGCTCAACTTTGAAACAAGATCTTCTCGAATCCCAAAAATAATGAAACCAACCATCTTATGTACTTTTCCAATCCACATCATTAATAAAACCTTAACCTCTTCTCGTGCTTTAACGAGTCTCACGCACTTAAACTCCAAGTGAGACACTCAGGCTATAAGTGACGCACTCAAGTTATAGATGACGCAGTCAAGCTACAGATGACGCACTCAAGATACTCATGACGCACTCAACCCACACATGCACGCTTCAAACGTGACAAATCTTACTCGAATTTTGAATACGCTTCAATTTGGAGTTTAAGTCCAATTATAATTTGCACGGTCAAGGATTGCCGAATACAAAATTGACATAACACTTCAACTTTTCTTCTCTGTTTTAATATTGTAGCTGTGATCAGTTAGTTCCGACTGACGCACCTGATAAATCATAAGGCAAGGGGTTAAGAACTAAGTGTATGCGCGTCGCAGCGTCAGCAATATTAAGTGACGATTAAACGACGCGAATCATTAGATTCCCAACGAGTATAAGAGGACTGTATCTAAATAAATTTCACTTCGAACGATCAGACTTGATATTTGAAACTTGAAACTTGATATTTGATACGTGAAACTTGATATTTGATACCTGAAACCCGATACCTGAAACCTGACACTTGGAACTTGATACTTAATTACTGAAACCTGATACTTGATACCTGAAACCTGATATTTGGAACTGATACTTAATACCTGAAACCTGATACTTGGAACTTGACACGTGATACCTAATACCTGGGACTTGATACATGATACCTGTAACCTGATACCTGCAACCTGATACCAGGAACTTGATACGTGATACCTGTAACCTGATACTTAAAGCTTGATACGTGATACCTGAAACCTGATACCTGAAGTTTAAAAGGGTTAATTTTTCCTCAAATAAATTAATGTAATTACAAATTAACAAATTTCGTTATCATAACACACACAACTCAATACGTTTCCAATCCACATAATTATCAAGACCTTAATTTTTCCTCAAATTAAATATAATTACAAATGAACAAATTCCGTTATCTTAATATCAATTCCACATAAAAGTCATTGCTACCAGAACAAAAGAAACCGTTCCTGGAAGCGGATGACGAGATCAACAGGAGGCACGATTTCTCGCTCATCAAAATTCATAGAAACAATTTTAATTAAAGATTTGCTCTCTGCCCGTCGAGTCGGGGTTTCCGTTTCGAAGAAAGACGAAAAGAACGGGGGTTTGGCTGGGTATATTGGAACGTCATGATCGTTTGTTGTTTCAGGAATATCCATGCACAAAGGCTATGCATTCGTGCAATTCACAAATCCCTTTGATGCTCGAAGCGCCTGCCTCGGCGAAGATGGCCGCACCGTACTTAGCCAGATACTCGGTAAGTAATTTTCTCCGGTGTTGAAACCTTAATAACTCGCTCTCCTCTACACGTGTATGCTCATTTAAAGATTAATCGTCCCTGTATCTCTCTTTATCAATTAATTATTGACCAAACGATTACTCGCGTTCGTTCCAACGATATCTTTAATCCTCGGGCTTTAAACGGACCAAAACTCTGAAGGCTTCTTTGAAGCCCCGATGCGTTCTGAAATTTTAATGCACCGGTTGGGAGCCTACGACCCGGTCTCGCGAAATTCACTTCGCGCGAGAGTCGTGCAAAAATTGTTTGCAAAGCTTGGTATTTTGGGGCTCTAACAGGTTTTGGGGTTTTTTTAAGTTTGTTAGGAATTTTTTTGGAGATTTTGTTTCGGAGGGAAATTTTGGGAAACTGAATTATTATTTAAATTTTTAATTGAGCTCTTGATTTGGGGGAAGGTTAATTAAGAGGCTTTGAGATCTTTGATAGTGGCGTTTTGCAAGGATTTGTACATTTTGGACGATTTTTCGTTCGGCTTTAATTCAATATGTAAATTTTGCAGTAGAATTTTGATTTGATGGCAAATTAATTGTCATTAAAATTAATTAAAAATTAATTGCTCAATTTATTGAACTCTTCGCAATTACAATTTTGCAGGAAACTGTCAATTTTCGATGATTTTGTTTCTTGTTCCAAACCGTGAATTTGGTTTTCAAATAATTAATTAAGTTCTCGATTTGACGTCTAATTAATTACGGATTAATTTTGAACGAAATTCCCTTTAATTACGAATCAAATTGTAATTGTTCAATGAATGATATTCTGATTGATAATTTAAGTAGTAGTAAATTTACACGTGATACTCTTAATCCTCATTAATTAGTAACATTCGACTGTCTATATTTAAATAAATAAACCAGTGATTCTCGAGTTTCAAGCAAACTAAAATTAAATTTAAATGAACGTACTTGAAATATGAATCTTCCGAAGAAATCGTGGTAACAATAATTTTTTCAAATCATTTAAAAATCCTTGTAGATTCACTTGTTTAATTACAAGATCGAATTTATAGTCTATCGTTATTCGATAACTGCGGTTCGAAATTGACCCATAAACGCATTGAATACCAGCTGCGAATCGGCTTATTACCTTTGCGTTCATTGCGGTTCGTTCAATTAACCACTTACCCGTTAATATCATCAATTTTTCCTTCATTATCACGATTTTACTGCAATAAAAAAACTGGCCATTTGTCCTGCGGGTTGCATATCAACTATCCCTTGAATATTGCCGAAAATGAGCTTCAAATTTGATCAATAATCAAGATAATATATTATAACAAAATTGAATAATATTACCTGTAGCTTATTCACTATAAGGCCTTAAAAAATTTCATGAGTCAATGAAATGTTAGCTGACTTTTTCTAATTTCATTTGGTAGATGTAGTATTTTAGAGTAATTTGTATTTGTTATTTAATAACATTGTTACATTTAATAGTTAGTGACTGTTGCTTTAATAATTAATAACCTTCTTATTTTCCATAATTAATATATGTTACATACGTTACATATGTTATATTTATTAATTGTCATCTGTTATATATGTTACATACGTTGCATTTATTAATTGTCATAAGTTACATATATTACATATGTTATGTTCATTAATTGTCATATGTTACATATGTCACATACGTTACATTTATTAATTGTCATGAGTTACATATATTACATATGTTATATTCATTAATTGTCATATATTACATGTGTCACATACGTTACATTTATTAACTGTCATATGTTACATATATTACGTATGTTATATTCATTAATTGTCATACGTTACATGTGTCACATACGTTACATTTATTAATTGTCATATGTTACATATATTACATATGTTATATTCATTAATTGTCATATGTTACATATATTACATATGTTATATTCATTAATTGTCATATGTTACTTATGTTACATATGTTATATTCATTAATTGTCATATGTTACATATGTTACATACGTTACATTCATTAATTGTCATATGTTACATGTGTCACATACGTTGTATTCATTAATTATCATTTGTTACATATGTTACATATAACCATTAATAAATATTACATACGTTCACATATGTTACATATAACAATCAATAAATGTTACATATATTACATATAACAATTAATAACATCGTTTCATAAAATAATTAACACTATCCCCCTAAAAACAAATAACAATAACATACAAAAGTCTATATCCTTCTTACATAAAAAAGTTCCTTTCAAAGCACATAAAAATTCGTATCAAACCAGCATCGAACGTTCGAAAAATACGTATCCAATTTGCTCTCCGATAGTTCGTAACTGTCGATCGGATGTTTGCAAAACAGCCATTTTTTTCTCCGTCGTGTTTACCTTGTATCGGCTGGTTCCTCCTCCAGTCAGAAATGGAACGAACAAATCGTTAAAAGCGAAACATCGTCGACTTCCAGCCATTAGTTTCGAACTTCCTCCCGTGGGGAATCTGACTCGAGACAGAGGTGCGTTAGCTCGAGAGCATTTAGCAAATTCGAGCAACTTCCGGAGGAATCGGCTTTTCTTCCGGCATTGTTACGAGTTTCCATGATTTCTAACTGCTAAAATATATCTTTTTTTACCTCGCATATTTTCTGGAAATTTAGCTTCTCACATTTTCTTTAACTGTTATTCCAGAATTTACATAAACTTCTCTCAAAAATTAATTCTTCAAAAATATTGCCAGACGGGACATTAGTGTTAAATTTAAATATTTTGTCTGATAAGATAAAAAATGATTTACGAAGAAGTTTGAAGAAACTTAAAAAATACTCAAAAGTTTGATAACTGAGAGAAGAGGAATTTTATGAATTCAGAAATATAGAAAATGAGGCAAAATTTCCTAATTTCCAGAGTATTCAATCTTTACTTAACGTGGAATCTCCATCTTAAATTTTCTTAAAATGAAATTAAAAACTGTCCAAAGCGTCTTTAAACCGTGTCGCAAAATCGGCTCTATATCCTCGATCCAGCAGTAAAACACAAGAATCCATTGAGAGTAACTTCATCGTTGAACGGCTATTTAAGCGCAACTTTCCAGATACATCAAAGCTAACTCGGTCTCAAAATAAAAGCCAATAAAACCCCTCGTCTAAAGCAAACTCGAATCGACTCTGTTCCCCTCTGGGCGAGCTACGTCTTTCAGCTTCTGAAAAGAGCTTTATCCCCGAAAAGAAACTCGCGCATTAATCAAAGACGGAACTTCATAAGTTCAACACTCTCGTTTCGTTGTAGAACGCTGTTAACGTGTTGATCGTTGTAATAAATAATACATCTCTACGTAGTTATAACTCTCTGAAACTTTCATTCACTCTGTTATAACTTAACTAACGCATTGTAATAGTCTAAATATGTCCTTCAAGGTAGTAAGAAGTATAACAGTTTATACAAGTTGTTTTATAATTAGTGTAAGTCCCTGAAATGGTAGCTGACGTGATTCTGAATAAGATTTCCCTTTGCAGAAATGGGGTTTGAAGCTTCGTTTTTGAATTATTAAGGAAAAACACGAGAGTTGCGCATACACAGACGCGAGAGCGGCAGCTTCGGATAACGTGTAGTTATCTAACGCGTAGTAATCTAGTGCGTAGTAGTGCAACGCGTAGTAATACAGCGCGTGGATATCCAAACGTAGTAATCTAGCGCCTGCATACTCCACGCGTAGTAATTCAATGCGGAATAATGCAGCGCATGGTAATTCCAAGCGTAAGAATCTAATGCGTGGTAGTCTAACGCGTACTAATCGAGCGTGTGGATATCTAACGCGTAGTAATCCAGCGCGTGGATATTCAACGCGTAGTAATCCAACGCACAATAATCCAACGCGTAATAATCCTCGCGCTCTGATTGGTCCGTGCTTTTCCTCAATAATTCAAAAACGAAGCTTCAAACCCCATTTTTGCAAAGGGAAACCTTATTCAGAATCACGTCTACCCCCATATCAAAGACCTACACTAATTATGAAACACCCTGTACTGTGAATCTTCATGTCTCCTGTATCCTCGTGTCTCCAAGAAATGAAGAATTTTATTAAGAATGTTTAACCGTATAAACTGGAACCGTGTGGCCAGTTAATTGCCACAGAAAGAACGTTTTACCAGCAGCTTTCCCCGAAGCGTTGGACTACTACGCGTTGAATATCCACGCGCTGGATCACTACGCGTTGGATTACTACGCGTTGGATCACTACGCGTTGGATTACTACGCGTTGGATTACTACCCGTTGGATTACTATGCGTTGGATTACAACGCGTTAGATTCCTACGCTTAGAATTACCACGCGTTGCATTACTACGCGTTGGACTACTACGCGTTGAATATCCACGCGCTGGATTACTACGCGTGGAATTACCACGCATGGAATTATGGACGCGTACTATTACCACGCGTGGAATTATCACGCATGGAGTTATGGACGCGTGGAATTACTACGCGCGGAATTACCACGCTCCGAATTACCAAGCATGGAATTACCAAGCGTGGAATTACCACGCGTCGAATTACCAAGCATGGAATTACCAAGCATGGAATTACCACGCTCCGAATTACCAAGCGTGGAATTACCACGCGCCAAATTGCCAAGCGTGGAATTTTAATTAACAATATATGAATGTACATACAAATTGTGAATTTGTAAAGTAATTTGAGACTCATACAGCGTTAAAATTCCCAGTGAAAAAGGGTGGAAAAGTATGGGTGTTGGACAGATCGGTGTTCCTCACGGTGATGATGAGGACAGCGCAAGAGCGACTAGAAGGCAACGTCCGGTTCCTCCGGCAGGTTTCCGTTCTCCAAAAGCTACCAGAACCGAAGGACCACCTCCTAGCTAAAATCTCCGACCTGATACGTGGCGTTGGATTACTACGCGTTAGATATCCACACGCTGGATTACTACGCGTTGGATATCCATACACTGT